ATGCTGATGGACAACATGAACACATTGGCCCTTCCTCTGACCCTCAAGAACATATTAGGGGACAACTTGGACACATGCGAACTGAATTTTCTTCAATTCCATCTCCTTCAGTTCCACCTTCTTCGGTGCAACACTCGAATGAGGAGGGAAACACGGGTGAAGAAGATAGCCGATTCATGATATGCCCATATGGAGATTCGTAAGTACTTCATTTTTTTAAGTATATGTAGGGTTTTCGATATGGAAACACACTGAATTGTCCATATCATTATAATATTTTGATGTTATTAAGTGCTTAATCAATGTTAAATATAAATTCTAGAAATTAATTTTGCTGTTAATTAGATTTAAAATCGAAATTTTCGTGGCAAAAGTCAAAAAATTTCGTGGCAAATTAGCAACGAATTTTGCCAGGAAATATAAGTTCGTCACAAATTACTGACCAAAAAAAAAATTTGCGACAAATTAGAGATAAATTTTGCCACGAATAGATTTCGTCACAATTTAGCGACCTAAAAAAAAAATTCGTGGCAAATTAGCGACGAATTTGCCACGAATAGATTTCGTCTCAATTTAGCGACCTAAAAAAAAATTTGTGGTAAATTAGCGACGAATTTTTCCACGAATAATTAGCGACGAATTTTGCCACGAATAGATTTCGTCGCAATTTAGCGACCTAAAAAAAAATTTCGTGGCAAATTAGCGACGAATTTTGCCATGAATAATTAGCGACGAATTTTGCAACGAATAATTAGCGACGAATACAATTTGTGGCAAATTAGCGACGAATTTTGCCACGAATAATTAGCGACGAATATATTTCGTCGCCAAATTTTGCGACACCGAATTGGCGACGAAATTTTTTTCGTCGCAAATTCGTTTAGCAACGAATTTTGCCAAATTTTTCGTCGCTAAAACCTAATTTTTTTGTAGTGTAGGATCTTTAATATGTGCAATGCATTGTACTAAACCTGATATCGTATTTTCCATGTGTAAGTTAAGTGGATACACTAGTAATCCAAGTATAGAATTTTTTGTTATCTTAAGAGAACCAAATATTTGGGATTATTCTATAATTATTATCCGGTTGTAATAGAATGATACAATGATGCTAGTTGGATTACAAGTATGGGAGATAAACATTCCACTTTTGAATGAATTTTCATGTTAGGTGGATGTGCTATATCTTGGGCGAGCAAGAAACAAACATGCATAACTCACTCAACAATGGAATCGAAATTCATTGCTTTAGCAACAACTGGGAAAGAGGCTGAATGAATTAAGAATTTGTTGTTGGACATCAAATTATGGCCTAGTCTCATGCCTCCTATTTCTATTCATTGTGACAGTCAGGCTACTTTGTTAAGAGCTTATAGTAGCACCTACAATGGCAAGTCTAAAATTATCGGTCTAAGACATGAGTACGTAAGACAATTGATTCAAGATGGTACCATAACAATTGTCTTCGTGTGGTCAAGCAAGAATTTGGTTTATCTCTTTACAAAAGCTCTAGCAAGAGATGTGGTAGAGGTGACCTCAAAAGAAATGGGGCCGAAACCCCTTAACTAAAATTACCAATAATGGTAACTCGACATAATACTAGTAAATCACTAGTTATAAGGTTTAATGGGTAAAAACAAGTTACTGAAAGTGATTGTTTGATGCTAACATTAATTCGGACATGAGAAGTCAATATCGTCTGTTACATTTTGTAGACTGAATTAAATTTTTAATGAAATATAATACAAATTAGTAATGTGTTACTAGTAACGGAAACACATGGTAGATACTTCATCTATATAAGCGTAGAAGTGGTGCCACTTCTTACGAAAGTTAGAGTTTCTTTCTAGAGAGATCATGAAACAAGTACAAGCACAAGGCCATAATAGTGCTAAGTAAATTATAGAAGTTCTCGATGAAACAAAAGATTAATATATGTGTAGTATATCCGATTCTATTATTAAAGTGGCAAGTTTAAAGTATAGCTACTTGAAACTTTTAAAGAATTTTGAGATAGTTGCACTAAATGAAGGTTTAACTCAAAAGAGACATTTATGTATGTACATTAATCTTGTGGAAATTTTAGCTGTATATTTTTTTAAAAATTTTTTATTTTAGAAAATTTTGTTTTACAAATAAAGTGGGGGATTGATAGAAGTTTATTTGTAAAACAAATAAAAGTGCGTTGTCCCACATATGAAAGTTGGGAGTGTGTGGGCCAATATAAAAGTGTTGATGTCTTTTATTCTTATAAATGAAGACGATAGGCTTAATGGGCTGGACCTACCACACCCACGTGTGAGTGCGCAACTAATTGCGCAATTTTGGCACTAATCCTCATTTATTATTTTTCAGTTATTAAATTTCGAATATATTATTATAAAATAACTGTCTTGTCCTATTGAAATAGTGTAACTGTTCGCAATAAAGATGCAGTTATTTTATTATTATTTAATTTGGAATTTTATTCTTTTTGCCTAATGGTTACTAGGTCCTCTTACAACCTTTTCGATTCTTCTTTCGAAAAGCTATACAACCATCATTTTCAATTATTTCCCTTTGAGAGTTCTTGTAAAAATACAGGAATTCCTTTATGGTATTCTCATCGAGACTTTGTTATATCTTGAAGGATTTTTGCAAGTAACCATTAGTAACGTTGTGGGGCAAATAATTCCTTAAAGATGGTGATATCACGCCTCTCAGTCTGATTCCATTTTTTTCGCGATTGCTTGATTTTCCCCAACACTTATTGCTTTCTTTGTCTTTCCACAAACCCATAGAAGAGTCAATCTCAGCCGCGCCTTGCCTGTGCTTATCCGACTTTAAATCTGCAGTTCATCAGACAGTAAATAGTGACAAAATCTTTGAAATTCTTATCATATCCTATCCAATCGTATCCTGACTAGAAATCCGGATGACCAAACGCAACCTAAGATTGCGTGTATATTAGAGATAATTTACATATTTCTGTTGGTTTTCTATATCTTTCAAGATTGCGCATATATCTCCTTTTAATTATGCATATCTTGATTGATATATGTTATCTTAGATAGTCATATCATAAAAGTTTATAAATAGGTTAATGTGCTTTTCACTATGTTATATTAAAATATACAGAAAATTCCTCAAGTCTATTTTTCGCATTATTCTTAGTTGCAGTGATGCCTTTCCAATCATTTAGACACGCTTATTTTCAAGACAAGAAAATTATACTAGCGTTTCAAACGTTAGCCAAATGTGTAATCTAGTTATCAACTTTTGAAAAAGTGCGACCAATCACAGAAACCTTTGCACCCAAGTCCAATCGAGTCCTTCAAATGACCACTCACCCAATTTTGTACTATGCGGCCACAATTGAGTGCCACGTCAGAAAATAAGTAAAAATAAAATATATATATAGCAAAAACAAAAAGCTAAAAAACCAAAAAATATATAGAAAAGATATAAAAAAAATTTAAGCATGAGAGAGAAAGAGATTGTCATTGTGCTTAGTGAAGTGTTGCCGTATGTGTAGAGGTTGTTAGGCTTCATTTGTTTTGCGAAAAATGAATGAATTAGAAAATATTTTCTTATAAATGATCGTTTGTAGCGTTTGAAATAATTAACCAATGAGAAATTTTCATTATCAATAGTAATTTATGTCTTAATATTTTCGCGAACGATAAAAATATCCTTCACTTATTCATTTCTATAAACAATATAAATGATTATTTTTAAAGAAAATATTTTTCAAATCATTTATTTTTCGCGAAACAAATAGAGCCAGTGTGGTTTTTGAAGTGATTTATTTGTGAATTACATCCCAAAGTTAGCGTTTCAAGTTGTGAAAATTCTATATATTTGTCTTTGACATTAAGTGATTGTTTTGTAAGAAATTGTGTGGAGTAAATGCTATACAAGATTATTTTATTAGGTGTAATTTGAGAGGGGGAAATACTTAGAGTAATTGAATGACTTTAATGTGTTTATATCGGTTGATTCATAATAGAATCTCATGCTACTTTTTCCGTGGAGTAGGAGGTCGCGATGAAGGAACCACATAAATCCAGTATCCAATTTATTTCCTTTTTTTTATTTTATCATTCGATTGCTTGTTTCCATAACAAGAATGACTTAAGGACGGCCGGTGACACATTTCAAAAATTATAAAGACCATTTCCATAAGAAAAATTAATAGTAAAGGTGCCGCCGATTAAATTAGGGGTGATTGGTTTCAGGATGTGCGGTTCCCACCCTGGAATCGGGAAGCGCCTACTAAGGACCGGTGCCCGGGTGGGTCCTTAGAGCCGGATCGAAATGTCCCCGACAAATTCATGTAGTTCATCTATGTAAAGCGGAGCAGTTCACCTTCCTTTGCCGTGATATGTATGTGTATGTTTTCATTTCTATAGCTTTCTAGCAGGGCTAGCTTTCGAAGGAGTCTATTCGAAAGGTTGGGTTCATCTTCTCAATATCCAGTACTTATCACTTTCCAGCGTCAAACCTTTTACAAAAATCAAATTCGAAATGGACCGAATGTTACTAGCGAAAGTTATGGAAAATGTCGTTTGCCGTGGCCGATGTTTGCCCCTACTCCTCCATAAATATTTCTAATGAAAGAGAATAAGGTGGAGATGATGGACTTGGGCTTAAAAAAAATTTGAGCTGGGAGTTGTTTCGATGATTTGGAGAAATCTATACGGAGACCGAGACAAGTGAGGCGAGAGAGTACGAGAAAGACAAAGAGAAAACTAGGGTTTTGATCTGAATACATAAAATTAAAAAAAAAAATTATATGCATGTACCATTCCAATCCAGGTGGGCGAGTGGACAGTTTCATACTTGGAATCGAAAATCGAATTGATACTCACCAGTTCTAGTAAATCGAATCGAAAAACAGACTGATCCCCATGAGAATCGCCGGTTCGGTCCAGGCGGTTTCCGATTGTTTTGCACGCCCTTGAATTTTTTCTTTTAAATCAGTAAAAAAAAAAATGGTAACCGTTCGGAATGCGGACGTTACCCAGCACCTAAAAAGCAAATCACTCAAGAAGTCAAACAAGCGTCGCTTTGAAACAGAGATGGCTTCCAAGGTGAGGAGGTTCTTCTGCACGAACGATGCCGCCTCCTCCGCCGAATCTCATCCCATCACGCTTCTCTCAGGTCCTCCTTCCTGGTACTCTCTCTCTCTCTCTGTGACACATACACACACCAAACAGATGGTGGGCATTTATGTTTTCCTCTTGGTTCGGCGGAGAACCGGAGGCCCAATGCATTGCGGTTCGATTCGCTGCTGCACAGTGGCCGTGCTTCTGTTGCTTCTCCTCCTTTTTCTTTTCCTTTCCGGTGAATTGGGCTGCTGCGAATGATATCGCAGTGGGAAGACTTCCTTGCTGTTCCAGTTCGCTTACAACCGGGCGTTGCGGAGCAATTCCGACGATGTTCCTGCCGTTGTTTTCGTATGCAACCGTCGGAGATTGGAAGCTAAACCCCCTTATCTCTCTCAGGCAATACTCCCTCCCTCTCTCTCTCTCTCTCTCTCTCTCTCTCTCTCTCTCTCTCTCTCTCTCTCTCTCTCTCTCTCTCTCATGGTGTGTTGCCACTCCATTAGCTGTTGATTCGTGCTTCTGCCGTCTATATCTGCAGGGCATTGACCCGTCGTGTGGCGTGTTTCGGCGTATACAAATGAAGTAAGCAACTTGCTGAACCAATCACTTTTACTAATTACTAGACTACAAGAACAGTGTAGAGAGAGAGAGAGAGAGAGTGGTTGTGCAGTGATGTATGATACCTTTGGTTCTGCATTGATTCAAGATATGTGGAGGATGATGAAGCGGTTAAGAAGTATTTTGCGGCGTTTCACCTGCACGAGTCGTTTCCAGCTGCTGTGATCGTCGATGATTTCGGGGAACTGTTTGATGAGAGGTACTCTCTTGCGTGTTTGCCTTTGTCTGTTGTATTGCTGACAGTTTTTCGATGCTCTCCTTCTGGTTGATCATCATCAAAGTGGCTCGGACAGCTACCTCTTCCAGTAACAGTTACATACTTTCGGTTTTTAGTTTTATGTACTTTGGTTTGTCTTGCTGAAGGAATTGCCGAGAGAAATATGCTAATCCTCGAGGGCGAGACCTTGCAATGGTCCGAACTTTGTCTTTGTGTTACAATGCCATAATGCACGCTAGGTAATTAGACAATATGTACGATCCTAATGTGCATTTGAGCTCTATTTCACTACAAATTGTGATGGCTATCGTCGTACATGATTTGCATAGCAAGAAAAGTCGGTGCGAGATTCTGCTGGCTGATACACACCATGGAGACTCCCCAAGGTTGTTATATATCTATAAGAGATGGGTTTCATCTATTGTCACAATAAAAGGTTGGTTCCAGAATAAAACTCAGTTTTGTGTTCTGCCGCATCACCCAATGTGACAATCAATGTTTGTCTGTGTCACAGGAGACCGCTGCGGGTCGTTTCTTCTCAACAGCAGTAGCAAAACACAAAATGGCAACTCCATTAGAAGAGAAACTGCAAAGTACTCTATAGCTCTTCAGTATTTGTTCCTAGAGGCAATAGATGATGACTCTGAGCAGTGATATTTCCTTCATTCTTCTCAACTGAATATAATTTTGTTGGCTTGTAGCTGTTGATGAAAGTTATGATCAATTCAAAACATTAGTGGGGTTTTTTCTTATCTTTGAAGTTACCATCTTGTCGATGTTGTCATTTTGAATATCCCCCTTTTGGAGAAGTATTATACTGGGTTCATCAAGCGGAGATCTTCAGATCCTCTTGCGTCACTTTCCTTACCGATACATCAATTTTTGGTAGTTGGAATATCTATAGAAGGTATTTATGCTAGATTCTTAAATTCTAGATGTATGAAATTCATACTAAAAGATATAGGCTGCTTCTCAGCTCTGAAAAATATTCTTGTGATGGGTCATGTTTGTAGTCAGAAATAAAGTGAAATCACTAGATTCCATAGTCCTGCATCATTCGACTTGAATGCGACAATTCACATGAAGACTACTCCAAGAACTAAAATCTCATCTTTATCACAAGATCAAGTCCATACTGCGGATGGATTTGTCAGGTGTATATGCAGCTACAGGATATCCAATTACATAACACACAAAGGATTGGCATGAGAAGAGACAGTGCATAGTGACATTGATATACCTCAGCCAGCAGATTGATCTACAGAAGCTCTTCTCTCAGTACACTCCTCTTTGAAATTCAGCCTCACAGAATTCTCCTCCGAGATCATCACAGGCCTCTCCAGGAAACACCCTGAAGCAAAAGTCGTCAGACACGATGTGCATTCAGTGATGGAAATTGCCAAGTAATGAACAAGTTGGGGGATCACGAGAGCTTACGTCTTGGGACTATCGTACTCGTAGTACTCTCTGTCGACCAGCTCGGAAGAAGTCCCGGGGTTGCTGCTCTGAGGTTCCGGTTTCAGCTTCGCTTCTGGGTACATCTCCACATCGCAGGCCTCCCCTCCAATTGTCTCGCAAGCCTCTGCTGGAAAGACACTGGAACAGAGAGAGACAAACCGAGGAGGATGCTGGTTGTTCGCGGTTCTGTATTCAACCGAACGGAGAAAGAAAAGATGAGATGGCAGCTACTTACGAGGTCATGGAGTTATAGTCGACAGCAGACGTATCGCGTGGGACGGCATGTGCTTTAACGAGAGGAAAACGACTACTTTGTGGCCTTGGCATGAACTTCCATGGAGACCCAAGTGACTTGGTGGTGGACACTAGTGGGAGAGATGGTGCTGCTGCAAAAATTACTGATGTCTGCATGGTTCTGGTGTGAGTCTTAATGTGGGGTGTCAAGTAATCATCAGGATCCGATGCCTTGGGTGGTGCATCTATAGGAGTTGGGTTGGTGAGTTCAAAGAGATAAGATGGAGGAGATATTCCCAGTTTTTGGATAAGGTTTGTGTGATATTCCTGTTTGACTAGAGATGTGGTGGTGAGGCTTTGAGAGAGGCCACTCAGTTTTGAGTATTTGGCTATTTTTGGACACTTGATTGCGAACGGCCAACGTTGATGCTTAATGCAATGTTCTCGCACAAGGCTCGATTGTTCGTAGGACGTCCTAGAAGCGTTTTCAAGGAGCCAATGGTCTTTGCTCAGATGAATCGTCGCTTTGGACAAACCAAACGGACCGAATCGGTATGGTTTAGCAGGCAAAAATTCTTTCTTGATTCACGAGTCAAAACGAAATTATTGGTCTTGCTCGGCTTAGTTTCGGACTCAGGAAACCGATGCAAAAGGAAACAAAATTCAGCTTCTCGGGTCCAGCGATCACGTAAAGAATGAGATATCTTCTCAATTTTTGGGTACTTCGGACCAAACGATGTCTTCTAGCTAGTTTAATGGATAAAGATGACTTCGCTCCAGCTCACTTATGTATGGACAGTGAGGGCTCACCGGCAACTTTGTTCTGTCTTTGAATGACCGTAGATTGAAATCCTGAAGCAACATTGTTATCCGAGTAGCGTTACCATCTCGTTGTGCGAATCACCGATTGTAACATAGGAGCTGGTTGAGCGTGGGATGACAGGAATTTTCAGCTTTTCATGTAACCGAAAAAGATGCAACGCCAGCTAGTGTACTAGAACATATCATGCAAGTCGATTCTCTTCGTTTACCTACAGATAAGAGTATCCGAATGCCCACAAAATGAACTTTAGCCAGCAAGGTGAGATGGAGGCCACAATCTCAAATCCGACCTCTGCTATTTCAAAGCACATATGATCTCGGTCTGATAACATACTCGTCTACCGTTGTCCATTTAGACTGTAATTTCTTTGGCAGTCTACTCAAAATCAGCATTCCATCTACCGCTGTCCATTAAGACCGTAATTTCTTTAGCAGTTTACTCAAAATCAGCATTTCACAAGGCCAAACCGCATCGACAACAAATCCCCAAATCATTTCCCTTGCTAGGGCACGTTTCTGAGTACTTACCATCTTGAATAACAAACATCGGCATCGTCAGTTTGGCTAATACTCGCTTATGCGCCCATTGTACAACACACCTTGTTTAATAACACTCAGAAGCAAATGAAAAGCTGAAAGGTTAGCACTAAATCGGATCGTGCTCATAGAGTTATACAGGTGCTCACAGTAAAAACAAATATTGAGCCAATCATTACATTATTTAAAGGTCTGTGTAACCAGAATCTTACTCATTCAAACTAAAATATTTGATTTCATCTAGAAAAGCTAAATAAATTCTAGAAAAGGAGTCATGGAGTACAAAATCCTCAAAGTCAGCAAATCCTAAATTCTATTGAAAAAGAGAAAATGACCAAAAACTCACTTAAAAAAATCATGAAGTGAACTGGGAACAATTCCTGATAACCAACTGCTAATTCGCCAAACATTCTTCAGAAGTTAAAACTGATGAGAGTTTGATCCTCCAATTTCAGTTCTTTCTCGGCTAACCATCCACCGTAAAAAGGAAAATGAGGGGTTCTCTGAAAAGCATGACTCTTCAAAAGATATGAAAACATCAATGTTGTACATCCTACTTCCCCACTCAAAAATCAAAGTGAGCTTCCTCCTCACTCCCCGGTGACCCACTTCTAATTACCATCATAGAGTTTACATCATAATAAAGCTTCCATTCCAATGGAAAATTGCCTGAAAAGAACTAATATACAGACAAAACAGACAATGGCCTAAAGTACAATTTCACAGCTAGACCAGGAAAGGAAGCAAACAGCATAGATATCACACTACAGTTCTCTTGATCAGAGGCTTCACTTACCTCTCAACTTACAAATTGGTGCTTTAAATTACAATGGTGACAATGGTGGGGACTGACTTCCACAAAATCCTGTGGGGCAGGCACAACAACCTACCACTCTCCTTCAGAACCCCCAATTGCCTTGCGTATTTCCTTCAACAAAACCAGCTCTTGAACTATATGTATAGATGACAACACATAGGCAACAAAAATACCTCCTCTCCGGGATATCCAGAATGATACTTCAAGAATTATCTCCTAATGACTTCATCCATTTGTATCCGACAATAGAATGAGAACCTCATTGTCTCCAAAACTCGACTCCACTGCAAGCTCCAGGGGAGTTTTGCCTTCGTAATTTAGTGCCTGTGGATCTGCCCCCCTGCAATTGAATTATGGTTCTCAAGTAGGATGTCTGTATGAGATAACGAAGAATAAACCTTTTTTAAGTAAAAACATTAACGCTGCTATCAAGCACAAGTTCATGACCACTGCGCTAGCAACGCAAGGAGCTAACAGACAAAAAAATCTAACTTATTAGTACCATGGTACTCAAACAAAACTGTATTCTGCCCCCTACTTTATGCTATCTAGCCATTTTCCCCGAAAAAAGAGGACACTAAATTCATCCTCCACAATGTACATCAATTACTTTATAAGCCATGCATCCAATTCATATTCGAATTAATAAACATCAAATATAGCAGTTTAGCTTATCAAAGGACCAAGGCATAATAAATGGTTGTAAATAATAATCAGTCATGACAAGCCAACAAGATCTCTTTGTGCACCTTGCAAGAAGCATCTTGGCATTGGCAGCTCTGCCTCTTAAAATACAACGGTGGAGCGGCATATTCCCTCCCGAATCAACAGCATTAATATTTGCACCATACTGCAGAAGGAGCTCCAGCATGCCAATATCAGCAGTTTCACATGCGAGGTGAAGTAGAGTGCATCCTTCAAGATAATCCATCCTCTGGCTGTCACCAGCACTTCCAAGATTCAACGAGCTCGTTGAGGATCTCTCTGAGCCACAGCTTTGGTTGTGACTTGTCTGTTCTTGCAATAGCATCACTTTTGCAAGAGTCAAAGAAGAGCTGCTTGATGCTTGCTGAAACACCGTATTGATATCTGTTTCAGAAGTAACAATGTACCGGTATACAGCTTTCTTGTCATTGGCACAAACAGCATCCCAGATCTCTGGCACCACTGAATGAAAACTTTGACTATCCTTGGGCTTGCGGACAAAAAGCTTTTCTGCATACTGCGAGCAAAAGGGAAAAGGAAGTCACCAACTGAAAATGCTATAATAATTCACAATATCTTACAGCCCTTCCCTACAATATTGAGTGGGAACTTGAAGAGCTCAACAACTTGAATGATTAAAGTATGCTACATCCAAATCCAAAGTTCAATCAATTCATCAGCAGTACAACAAGAAGGCCAATTTCCGAACTGGTCATCTGGAACTATTCTCTAAACCACCGGCTGAGATATGACTCGATTAATAAAAAGATGTTCATCCGTGAGCAAAGTCCACAGGTGACCATATCATTCTAATCACATTCTTTCAAGTTGCAATAATCTCTCATCGAAGACTCTGTTAATCATAAAAATTGTTCAGCAGAAAGAACGTAGCCAAAGAGGATTGCTGTCAAAAGTTGTTCCAAAATAAGCATATTCTCTCAGCTAGTGTGCAGAGCAACAGTAAGAGAAACAAGATACAAAAGCAATGAAGTGAAAAGTATATGGGCAAACCTTTGCATGGATAAACTTCTCCTTTAATGATATAGAATCAGAGTGACTAGGTTTGGCCATAAGATGCATCTGCAGCTTGTTGGAATCAAATAAGCTACACACAGAACACTGAACATTAGTAATATGAGCTTTCTCTAACACTATTCAGAAGGAAACAAGAAAAGGCTTCAAGCGGCCGCAAAAATGGTCACCTTGTTGGAGGATGAAAAGTACTTCTTGATTGCAATAGTTCCTCCCAAACTGAGTTAGCAAAGGCATTGCCCAGAGACTGAAACAAACTTATAACTGAAGGCTCCCATACTTTGACATCAAGGGTAAGTGACCTCACCTATGATTCGAAATTCAACATTCATAAGTACCATCGCACCACAAAGATACAAACATTTAAGATATACCATCAAGAGGCTTCTGTCAATCATTTAAAAGGAAAGGCAAATGTTATACATTTAAAGAGTAAGATGTTTTTGGCATGACAGTACCACCAACTAAGTGAATTTTACATGTAAAAGCAACAATGAAACTCCTGCACTTGCCTTTGATATGTGGACCCCGAGGTTTCGATGAACACCAGAACACTCGATGCAAACAAGAACACCAAGATTCAAGGATGCCCAGTCTGGTTCAGGAGCTCCACAATCAGCACATCTATCGTTGCCACATACTTTTTGCAATATATCAATGGGCTTCTCAATTTTCACACAGGATCGTTGCTGTTGTAAGTTCCTCGACAAGCGGTCATGATGAGAAGAAGCAAGATGTCTCTCTGTCGTGTATTCTTCAGCAGCATTGTGATCAAAGTCAGAACTTTCAAAAGAGCTACTCTCACTGGCAGAATGATGATGACCACTTCCCAAAGGTCCAGCAGAAAGACACTGAAAGATAATAGGATGTCATGTATTCAGACAAAGAAACAAAGAAGCCAGCAGATGCAATGCTTTGGCAATTACCCTTTCAGGTGCCTGAGAACTTAGCAATGAAGCAATCACTCCTGTTATCTTTTCAATCCAGTCCATCTGATCCAATGCGCTTTCTGCCTGCACTGACCAGCTAAATAACAATTGTAAGGTTCTTTCCATTAAAAGTAACTCTAATTATGTACCAAACCACAAGTTGTTTGAAGCAACCATTAAAAAAAAAGACAACTGCAAGAAGCAGGAAACGCACACCTGCAAAGTGTAACTTTTTGATGGTGAGATAATCCTGAAACAAAACCTTAGATCAGACTGGTCGGCATCCACTTTTATGGTTGACGTAAGCAGATTCACCGTGTGATGAGCAACAGACTTCTCATCATGTACTCCGCCGTGATAATGAGAAGAAAGCCAACGACTTAGCAATCCAGACCCAATCTCTGAACTATTCCTCTGACCAGCGTTGTGACTGACAGAACCCTAAGAGACAAAGTCAATTTGATACCAGTATTAACAAAAATAATAAC